CGACCAAAATTGGTGCACTGTAAACAACAAGCTTGCTACAGCTAATACAAACAGCTAGTGCATGATAGACTGTGAACAAAGTTGAAATTATTGCTTCTCTGCAAGTTTATGCTAATTTAGCGTGTGTTTTTACAGATTACTTTTATTGACTTTTTACTCGCAGAGGTTTTATTGCACATACAATAATTTAGGTGTTGTCAAATTGAGTAACGTTTCACTGTACCTAATGTGAGCAAAACAATAATTTAGAGGAGGAGGAGGCACCAGGGATGGCCAATCAGATTCATGACCACCCCTTTGACTCCATCCATGCTTAAGAATGCTTCTGGAAAGAATAAATGGATAAAGATAAAAACTCACGTCTTCGTCTTTCTCCAGCTCCAGCCCTGTATCTCTCAGGTTCCCTTCAAACTCCTCCCTCCTGAAGGCCTTGTGGTCCTCCTGGTTGTTGTAGGTCTCTTCAGGACAACCCAGCTCCACATCAGCTACCTGTGATAATGGCGGAGATGATGAGTCTCTTGTCTTTTGTGCTTGCTGATGTTGAAGATGTTGGTCACGTTTCTTGGGGCCACGGCGTAGACTGCGGGCAACAGCGTTTTCGGTCAGCAAGGACACTGGTGGTCGACTAGAGCGGCCCCCTCCTGGCTTTTTCACATGGTAGGTAAGGACATAGTCGACACGCCGCTGACCATCCTGGAAGTAGAGGCCATCTTGACAGTGAGTGTTTTCCTCTGGAGTTAGAGCCTTCAGCAACTATCAGCATGGGAATAGACAAGGATTCAGGATGCAAGACAGAGCAGGTAGAGACAGAAGTGTTTTGTTTATGTGAGCAGATTTGATTCTCTTATGTTTCATGGATGCAAGATCAAAGCTTTCTCTTTTCTGTGACATCTGGGACTTTCTTCTTGTATGTGCAGAAAGAAGAATTTAAGCTTTTGGGAGTTGAACTCGTGCACAGTGCTATTTGATGGTTTGCACAAATTGTAGCAGCAATCTAAAACAGGCCTAAGAATTAGAGCACCATCTCTCTCATTTTAGAGGCTCAGCTGTTATTTGTATACAGTGTTAATTTACCTCATTTTTTAATGAAAAATTTGCATACTTTGATAAGTTTTGCCATATCTAGATCAAATTTGTTTTGGTACTTTTGGGTCTGCAGCATGGTTATGTAGGTATTTTTCTTCTTTCCCAGAACTACCTGGTAGCACTTTAATTGACTGATTATTTCCAAGGCCTCAAGCTCAGTTTCAGTTTTATAATCTTATTTCATGATTTGATAAAACAGTCCTATCTTGAAATAAAAGCAAACGGGAGACAGAGTTAGATTAGTTAGAACTTGTCTGAAGATTTATGGGGGAATGCCTGCAAATCATACTCAGTTTTTTTCTTGTGCTGTTTTGTCCAGTTATTGGCATCACTTTTTTAGTGTCATAAAGCTGTTGGTAATAATAAACTACTGGAACAGACAACATATTTACAAGATGACAGGCTGCTGATCTCACTGGCCATCTGAATATATTGAACTAAAGGCTACAAGCAAATGATGAGCTTTTGTTGCAAATTTAAGCACTTGTGAACTTTGTTGTGAAGCTTTGACTTTTTGAGACATAATTCAGTGACAGCCATGTTATAGGCTGGATAGTTACGGAAGAGTAACCAGCCAGTAAAATTCAAAATTCTTGTTTCTTGTTTGCATGTTCATAGTAAAACTCCAAAGCAATTCTTCACAGCCCAGCATCACTGTCCCCACTAGGAGTGATATTTATTGAAATTTAGTAATCTTACTGCATATTCACAGTGCTTAGAACTGGCTCATTAATATACTCTCTTCAGTTAAATGTTTCCCAGCACTTCCTATTTTTTTCCTGTGGCCCCTGGCATAGAAAGGAAAGACACCCATACTGTGCTGTGCATGTCCACTCTAGCCTCCTGCAGTTTTCCTTAACACTCACATGTTTAACAGATATTCAATAAGACTTGCAATGTAATGCGATCTGACTGATCTGACCAGCAGAAACTTAGCTTCTTATTCATTTCCACAACCCACTAATTAATTACAAGAACTATACCAATATATCCACAGTAATATTGTAATGTTTCACTGGGTTATATTACTATATGAACTATAGATGGTGATTTTAACACAGATTACACAAAAATAGCCAATAATTAATAATTAATCAGTCATTGTTTCTTTTCACATGTATTTCCAGTACAAAATGCAGTTGCCTTAGTAGTTCATACACAGTCCCCTCCAGACTCCCTTGTGTTTGACATCAGTGTTCATTATGGCACATGTGCAAGAGTGTAGGCTTAGACATAGACAATACAGGTACTAATGTACCCAGTCACATACTCAGCATTATCCTGTATGCTGACGAAAAAGTTCTCCAGGGTGGCTGCAGCTTTAAACACATCCTAGTCTGTCTGGGTGAAACAGTCCTGCAGGGTGCCTTCAGTCTCTGGGATCCAGAGTTTAATTTGCTTGGTGACAGGGTTTGTTTATTTGCAGACCTGGAGCAAAGCGCTGGGAGAGGAGCTGGAGTGAGGTGCTGGGGGAGGAAACAGGTACAAGCCATTTCACCATCGGTCCGCTCCCCTTCCAACAAGATGGATGAGCTGGCAGAGCTGCAGCGGGTGTACAGGATCTGTGGTCCATGGTGATGGTTCTTCACTAATCCCTGGGCCGGCTCTGCTGCTGCATGCAGGCGCACGGTGTCTTGACGGACACAGCACCCACAGGCCCTAATTCTCATCTCGGGGTCCCTAACCATGCCATGCCTCACTCCCCCTCTCTGCCACCCTCCTACACAAAGAACAATAAAACTCTGGGCCATACTGTATGCTAATGCTAGGAATGCATACACTTCCGCCCCTCCCCCTCTGACCACAGACTGCCCTGTCTGTGATTTGAGTGAGAACAATATCTACTCCTGATTTCCCTGAAATGCTTATACTGTCTTGTCTTTGGGTACTCTCTTGGATTTGTTTTTTAAGATGCACTGCAGGGAGCGGCAGCGAGTTCCAGTAGCTCTGTCCTCTTTTGTTTTTCTCCCGTGCTTTCTGAATTTGTCTATCAAGATCGGTGTGTGGTATCTGTTCTTATGGTGTCTTGTTGCTTGCTCTCTGTTGTTTTTGTCCCTTACTGCTGCTGGAACACTGGAATTTCCCCACTGTGGGATCAATAAAGTTCTACCTACCTACCTACCTTTCAGTCTTTGCGTGTAAACTGGATACAGGAACAAAGAAATGTGGGGGCAGGGTGTGGCCCTGTATGCACCCCGTATGTTACTGTAAACATGATCCAGAGTGTTCTTGCCCCGGGTGGGAATGTTCACATGTTGGTAATATTCGGGAAGTACAGTCCGTAAATTGCACTGATTAAAGTCGTCTGCAGTGATAAATACAGCATCGGGGAGAGCCATCTCTAGCACACTGATGACATCGTGGAGTTTGCTGAGAGCCGCAGAGGGATTAGCTCTTGGGCTAACATACACAGCAGCCAGAAACACAGCACTATGCTCTCTTGCTAGATAGTAGGGCCGGCATTTCAGCAATAAAAACTCCACGTCTGGCGAACAGTGCTTATAAACAGTCTGTACATCTACACACCGCTTCCTTTTACTTTCCCCGAAGCAGTGGCGCGGTCTCCCCGATGTACAGAGTGGGTCTCTAGCTGAATCGTGGAATCTGGGACTCTGTCAGAAAGCCAAGTCTGGGTGAGAATTAGAGCACAGCATTCTCTGTAATATAATAAAATAAGCAACATTAACAAGCAACAAACAATGCAAAATAAGCAGTATAAACAGGTAGTAAACAATGCAGAGAGACAAAAGGATGCTCATTGAAATAGGATAAATAGGAATAAAAATAGAGTACTTAAAAATAGAGACCTGTACGGATCTGTATAATCTGTACAATGTATATTTACACATGTTGCACTTAGGGTTATTGTCCAGTCATACTGTCATGGGTCAAGTGTTCATCAGAGTGACATCCTGGGGGAAGAAACTGTCCTTGTTTCTGGTTGTCTTGGCGCACAGTGACCTGTAACGCCATCCAGAGGGGAGGAGTTCAAACTGATTGTGTCCAGGGTGTGAGGAGTCTGCAGTGATCCTCTCCACCCTCCTTTTGATTCATGAGGTGTACAGGTCCTCCATGGAGGACAGGTTTGCACCAATGACCTTGTCTGCATTTCCTACATATCTTGAGAATTTAGAAACATAGTAAATAAAAGTGATTTAAGGAGCTCAGTGGTCAGTTCGGTATCATAATAGGGGTGGCAGTTGTTGTGCCCATGATGGTGCTGCAGAACAAATTCTGTTTGAGACATAAATAGTGTGTAAATTATGAGCTGTGTCTTGACCTGAGCTTAGGTGACTGCACATCAAAGGGAAGGTATCCACAAATCAAACTACACAGAGGGTACACACTAGTTTTTAAACAGGAACTCCACTTGAAGATCAGTTTACTAGTCATGTGGTTGATTCCAATTTCATGTTGGGTTCAGTTTGTAGCTGGTAAAATGCCCGGATTACATCAGGTCTGATGCAAACCCACATTGGAGCAATGCAGAAAACTCTCACATAGCACAGGAGTTTTCAACTAATTGTGATCCGGGGACTACCATTCTGACTAAGACATAATCTCAGGACCATTGTTTTAAGCCATGTTGTTGCAGCTCCTATTGGTTTCCCTCCGTGGTGGATGCCCTGATGGCAGCAGGCTCAGCTGACCACTGGATTCTGCCCTCCCACTGACATAGCACCTCCCATTGCTGGTCCTCTGACAAAGGTCACTCATGCTCCTGTCAGGAGTCGCCCCTCCACCATCTAGCAAGGCACCCTGGGAAGTCTGATAGATTTGGTTCTATAAAATTTCATTTAATGAGTTAAATAAAGTCTCAGCAGTTCATTCATTCAACTCATCATCTCAAGGTGGAATACTTCAAGCCAGAACAACACATGTTTGTAAGTTCTAAAGTGGTGTAAACATTTTAAAATTAGACTTCCTAAGTTGAATTAACTTGAAATTACCAAAACTTACAAATTTACATTAACAAGAAAAGCTTAGTTGATTCCACTAAATTCCTATATCATGTTTTACAGTGTACACAGTAAATTCTAATAGCTGTCATAACTTACTTTAATTTGTTAACTTTACTAGGTTATCAAAAAATGTGGACTTATTACTAGTTTTTATTACATTAGCATTACTTGCAGGGTGAAAAATATTGTGGCGAGCTTGTGGATTCTGAGGATATTGCCAAAGAATGATGCTCGAGTCAGGCTATCTTTTTATGCAGGCTTCTGTGCCCCTTATACAGCATGACTCTGGATAGATTTTTAAATTACCAAACACAACACAAAACAACATGAATTTAGTGACGGCAGCCTCACAGCTGTCCCTTGGCTGGCAGCGGCAACCCCTCTGCTGATGGCGACCCCTCAGCTGTCCCTTGGCTTACTGTGGCAGCTCCTTGACTGTTCCCTGGTTGGCTGGTCCCTCATCTCATGGCAGTGCTGCTGTGCTTGCCTGTCACAGCCTCTCAGACTGTTCATTGACTCTCAGACTGCCCTTCTTGGCAGCTCCTTTGCTTGGTTTTGGGGGCATGTCATGCATAAAATGATTCAAAGATTCATAGTCTCTCTCTGGTATTGTCCCTGATCTTCCTCCGGCTGCTCATCCCATATTGAACCCGCCACTACAGGAATCCCTGACCACTTTACCAAGACCATAGGCTGCTGTACTTAGCAAGCTGATCTTCTCTAGATAGGATTTAAACCTTGAGCCACTTAACCATTCAGTCCACACTTATTTGTTATAAGGTCTTGGGGATCTGCCACTACCTGAGAGCAGTGTCGAACTCCTTAAACTTTCTCAAAATTGTCAAGCACACAAGCAACCGATTATACACAAGCAATCAATATCCTTTGAGTTCATTCATTTGTCCCTGTACTTTCATACTTAGTGATGGCAGGTCCCTGCTAGTGAAATGGAGATAATCTAATTAACTGGGGGACCTAACCCGAACTACGTCTCTTCCCTTTTTCACACAATTTAACCTGTTCAAACATCCATACCTCTGCTTCCACTTTTCATTAGAACAGCCAAAGTAATACATGGAAATGTGTTTAAAAATACAATTTAATTAAAAAGTAAAAGATTCCTAGAGAGACAATACATTATTGAATGCATGATCAGGGACCACCTGCAGTGCCTTCATGGGCCACTGGTTACAAAACCCTGACAGCAGCTTCTCAGTCAGCTATAGATAATTAATTAAAGCTACAGTGTATAAATTTTTCCTAATACTTTTTATTAGCACAAATGTTTCAAAACACCTTAATGTGGAGAGGTGCTGTCAAAGGCTTCTGTGACCTAGACTCATTGAACAGTCTGGCAGCAGTGCACAGATATTTGTATATGCTCTCCTGTTCTTTATTATTATTATTATGATTTCTTCCGTCCGTTTTTTGGCACCTAATTTCTTCAGCATACTTTCAGCTACAAAACCCATGAAGTTATCAAAATGTTCAACTCTTTAAGGACATTCCTGCCTATATTTTTATTGTTTGTAACATTTATACTTTTTAACACATTTAGCTTTAGCTTAGTCCCTGTGATCTGTGGTCTGTTCTGAAAGTTTAAAATCCATTGAATAACATATGTTGATTAATCCATCCATTTTCCTCTGCTTATCCGGAACCAGCAACTATTCAGCTATTTATACCATAAACAGCTTTTTGATATTTTTTATGGTTTTTGCATAATTATCATTTATATTTTATCTCATTTCAATAGCCACACTCTAGTATTTCTCAGTGTGTAGGACTACTATTTCTTTCTCATATCCCATGTCACAATTTTGAAAACATAGTGCTCACAGCCTGCCAGATGGGCATAAGCCTGTTACTGGCTTGTTTGCTGCTGAATCCATTCCACATTTACATGTATATTATATGTATGTTCCATCCATTAGATATACATCTTATCCTGTGGAGGGTTGCGGGGAGCCAAACATCCGACAGTGGGCAAGAGATGGAGTACAGGTCTCCATTTTATCACAGAGCTGATATCACTCACATTCACTCCTACAAACAATGTAGACTCACCAGTCAACCTACCCTGCATGTCTTTAGACTGTGGGAGGAAGCCAGAGTACACAGAGAGAACCCACACAGACACAGGGACATGAAAACTCCACACAGAAAGGCCCCGGGGTCATTTGTGAGGTTTAAACCCAGAACCTTCTTGCTGGGAGGTGAAAGTGCTAACCACTGTACCACCATACCACCCTACATTACATGTTTGGAAAAAAAACTGTGTTTAAAATTAGCAAGCAAAAAACATCTGTCAGCTGTCAGGCGGAGTACTGATGTCAAAACACTAGGAGAGAGTGCACACGCTGGAGAACATTCCTCTGCAAAAATGAGGCTCCACAGTCAGGTGTTTAGCTACTCAGATGACATCTATGTATTCAAATTGGAAAAACATGGACTTATTTAAAACTGTGTGCCATCAACTAATGTCAACTAAATCAGAGGAAATGTTGGTATTACAGAGGAAGAACTCATTTTGAACTCCTCCCATCTGGACGGCGTTACAGGTCACTGTGCACCAAGACAACCAGGCACAGGGACAGTTTCTTCCCCCTGGCTGTCGCTCTGATGAACACTTAACTAATGACCATATGATTGGACAATAAACCTCAGTGCAATACCTGTGTATATACATTGTACAGATTATACAAACACATACAGGACTCTAGTTCTTAAGTACTCCATTTCAGTGAACATTCCTTTGTTGTCTGCATTGTTACTGTCTGTTTATACTGCTTATTCTGCATTGTTTGCACTTTCTGTTGCTTGTAAATACTGCTTATTTTTGTTATATTACACAGCCTTATGCTGGTTTACTGTTTGCACATTGAGAGCCGATGTACCAGAGTCAAATGCCTCATGTGTCTAACACACCTGGCCAATAAAGCAGATTCTGATTCTGATTCTGAAATGTGGTTAAAAAAAAACAACTAATAAACCATTCTCACTACAAGGTCCATTTTTCTGAAACTATCCTAACCTCTTGTACATTTTGTTCTAGCTTACAAATATTAAAGACATGCTGTATGAAATTACCAAGAGTTATTTGTTTGTATACACAGGTTAGGATCAAATCTGATCAAATTGTGTGTAAATGTTTGCCCCCATGTCTTGTACTGTACATTCTTGCAATAATCCAGCATGTCCTGTATGAGATCTCTGCTCCCCAGACCACCAGAGAAGAGTCTTACATTAGCTGCAGTCAAGTGCAGTGTGAGTTCTCCTGTCAGTGAACACAATGAAGCTGGTTTGCTCTTCTTCACAGAGGTAGCAGTGGTGGTGTAGGGTCATCAACACTGTCATTACTACAACTCTGTTTACAGCTCTTTGTCCTGAATGGACAAGACCTAAAATTGCAATAGTCACTTATTTTGTCATGTCATTTTGATGTGAACACAAACAATAGTGGAAAAGTGTCAGTCATTTATATTTTTCAAGTAATTTGGGTGCCATTGTTTTGCTGTATTGTATTGTACTGTAGGCACTGTTTCTAGTGGTGGAATACTTAAAGGAACACTACATGTTCCAATGCACCAATCCATCAAATGGAAAGTTCTATCTCATGTCTTCAAATATATATGCTGCAAATATCAGCCTCACACATTTGGTATCTTTTGAGACATTTCAATTACAGTTCCTAATAAGGTTTTGTGCAACAGGTCAGTGAGGTTAAAATGTTAATCATTTGTTCTTTTGCTTAAAGTAATCTGTAACTTGATTCATTTTATTTTACTGTGTAACTGCACCAAATAATGAAATATTTCCTGTATACTGTCCTGTATCGGTGGACAGTCGCCACTTTTCATTTGGTGGCTCTGTATATCTGCCCTTATCCCCTCTTTAACTCCCTCACTGTCTGCTCTGCAATGTTTGCCTCTCGCAGAGACACTCACCTTAAACTTGCCATGGAAGATGACATCTTGTAGAAAATGTGGAGCCTGTGACTCAGACCCAGAGGCTGACGATGGGTTGACTCCTGCTTCTGCTTCCTCTGTCATTCTCTGGTCCCGGCACGTTGAAAGCAGAGATAAACTGGTATGGTGGAGAGTTGTTTGCAAACAGAATAATCCAGTTTTTGCTCTTATTCTCTCTATATCTGTCTCTCCTGTTTGAAATGCCTCGATTTGTGACTGGGTCTGGCATTAAGGGCCCCTCCTCTTATTTTCATCTGACTTGCCACTTCTCTGTGGTGTTGACGTCTCTCTCTAAAGCTCTGTGTGGAGCTGTGTTTCTGTGTCAGTGTGGAGTGGCTGAAATGTGCCTGCAGCCTTGTTACTTGAGAAGTCTTCTGTGAGCCAAGATCTAAACTTAGACAACGATAAAACTATGAACACAAGGTGCCCTCTCTCCCTCCCTCTGTTTCTGCTCAACTGAAATCACTACAAGATCAAGCACCCCAATACACATACAACCTCTCTCTCTCCCTCACTCTCTAGCTCACTCTCTGCCAGTGGCAGTTCAAAGTGTTTATTTGTCATATGCACAGTTAGAAAATGTGTTTCCTTGTACAATGAAATTCTTTGCCGTCCACATGAATGACACAAAATACAAATGAAATATAAAGTAGATAAATAAATAACACAAAATCTAAGGCACTTTAAGCAGCGCAGATACAGATACTAATCCCTGCAAAATCAAATGCTATGCATTACATGCAAAAGAAATGACAACATGGTCAGCGAACTGAAAACATTCCCATACAACAATCTTGGAAGACAGTAGAATCTTGTGTGCACTATATGAATCTGGCTACAGACTGAATGAATAATGGTCAGCTCCGAGGACTCATTGCGATCTGGTGATAGGCAGCAGCAGTGGCAGTAACACAAAATACAGGTGATGATGGTACCCTGTAGAACATGTCACACTCTGACAACCTACTTTCACTGGACCACCACCAGTTACTGTGCCCCAGTCTTCACCAGACCAGTAAGGGGAGCAACTAACATGTTCCTTTTTCTCCACTGCACTTTACACTCCAGGTCTATTTCTGCCAGTAATGTTAATTTTGGCACATGAATTTGGTCTAGTTTGATTCTTAGCCTTCCTCTTTCTGTTACTATCTCTTATGTTAATGGGTCAGTTTTGACCCGTGTCTTAAATCTGCCATAAAATACCCTCAAAGCAATTATTTATCATCCAATTTGTTTCCTGCCTCTTGTTTACCTTGGTAGATTTCTTCCTCCATGAAAAGATTGGTTTTAATACTTTTGGTGTGGCCCCCTGGGCCTTTCTTTTGACAGCATACCTCTCGTTTTCAATTTAAAAAATGGTAAAATAAACATCAAGAGAATTATATCAATAAATAAAAGGTTGTTATGCAATCTGACTATTACTGAGGGGTATTAGAACACATCTATTAAATAAGTTTGTTTTATTTAATTTTTATTTTAATATTAACTGTAGTAACATCTATAGTGCTATGGGTCCATTTTGACCCATATATATTTACTTTGAGAAAAAGGCAAAAAAGTTTTTTTTTTTTTTTTTGCAAAAAAAGAACTTTAATACACATACAAAATGAAAAGCAGAACAAGTAATAATACAAAATGTAGTGGTGGTGTTTGTAAAAGCTAGTTTTGAAAAAAGTGGAGCACTGTCCTTCACCTGCAAAATTTCAGCAGGCAGCTCAGGTTTATTAATTTTTTTATTGTGCCCACCATGGTAAGTTTTTGCCTGAGAAGTTCTTGTCCAAGGTCATAGCTGGTAAAAAAAAAAAAAATTTCACAGGTGATATTGTGACCCCGCAGTCCAGTAGTCATATAGAGGACTACACATTTTCCTTGGTTTTTCTCAAGTGCCACTTTACAGGTTTGCCTGTCTAGATCTGTACATTCCATGCATAGCTGTTTTTTGCATCACAGGCTGCCCAGATGTTTATGAAGTATTTGCCTGGCTTACTGGGCATGTATTGCCGGAAGGGGCATTTTCTACGGAAAGGGACAAAACGTTCATCTACTGTCACCTCTGGCCCTGAGTTGAACATCAGTGGAAGGAGCTGTGCCAAGACATCCCTATGGGAGCAAGCTTGTCAAATTTTGCTCTAGTATCTCTGTTGTCAAATCTGAGGACTCTTGATATCATTTGAATTGTCTGAAGTTACATTGTTGCCCAGAAAACATTTCTGCCTGTCGACACATCCCAGAGACTATCAGTGACCTCATTGCTGGATCTGTACACTCCAGCAAAACGAAGAACACTAATATAAACATCCAGGTATTCCTCATCAATATCATTCCACATGTCGACGTGGACTTTTTTTTTTCAGGATGACATTTTTTAGTGACAATGGCATAAAGAGACCAAAATGTGTCTTGATGTCACTTACTCTCATCACATCAAACCTTATGATCCCAGGGGTCATTTTGATGACATTTGCAGCTGCTGCCCTACCATGTAAGTCAGGAGGTACTGAGCTCCAACACGTTACCACTTTTGGATTTGAATGTTTCAGCAGGGGGCAGCACGGTGGTATGGTGGTTAGCGCTGTTGCCTCACAGCAAGAAGGTTTCGGATTTGAGCCCCAGCCGACCCTAGGCCTTTTCGCACTCCTTTCTGTGCGGAGTTTGCATGATCTCCCCGTGCTTGTGTGGGTTCCCTCCGGGTGCTCCGGCTTCCTCCCACAGACATAGGTTGATTGGTCTCTCTAAACTGCCCGTAGGAGTGATTGTGTGTGAGTAGTTGTTCGTCTGTGTGTTAGCCCTGCAATGGACTGGCGACCTGTCCAGGGTGTACCCCGCCTCTCGCCCACAGCTGGCTGGGATTGGCTCCAGCCCCCTGTGACCCCTTTTGGGACTAAGCGGTTTAGAAAATGGATGGATGGATGGATGTATCAGCAGGAGCAGGAGCAGCTTCAGTACCATTGACCTCATCATCAGACTCATCAGATGTGCCTTTGATTTGCTTATTTGTGCTGTGCGTTCTGATGACGCTACTTGTATCGATTCTAATGCTTTGTTGCCTCTATGTAACTGTTTATTTTAAGACTAAGTGTTCTTTGTTACTACGTACTTACGTACGCATGCGCCGCGCGAAGTGGCAGCAAGTTACAGCAGCTGTGTCCTCGTTGTGTTCTTTTCCATGTTTTTATGAAGTCCTGTTGTTATGTGTCTGTTCTTATGGTGTTATGTTGGTTGTTCTCTATTGCTGCTGTAACACAGAAATTTCCCCACTGTGGGATCAATAAAGTACCTACTCTACTCTACTCTACTCTACTCTACTGTACTCTAATCTACTCATAAGCTTATAACTGGGTCAAAACCAACCCTAACAACACAAAGGTCATAATTTTCCCCAGAGCATTTTATAATTTAGTGAAATAAATTTTTTTTATTTTATTTTGTTTGCCTTGTGACCATCGATTCCTGCCTAACCCTTCTGATTTTGTTTGTGTTCTGTGCATCAATCTATGGACTTCCCTTACTGACCATTCTTCATGCGGATGCCTTGGATGTGTGAGTTTGCTGGTTCTGACCCTGGACTGGAATTATCGACCTGAGTGTTACATGCTGAAACTTTTGAGACTGTGCTTTATTTGCACTTCCTGGTTGGAACAACCTCTGGTTTCTAAGACATTCTGTTGTATCAGACTCCTGCATTGTGTACAGATTTATTGTGATTAGAGCTCTTATTAAAGAGACAGTGTTCTGCTTTTACTTGTCTGGACTTATAATTGAGTTCACCCTCGACATTATCGTTAGCTTTACATGCCACCCCTGACAGAGGAAGGTTAGTCTTTCGATAGAATTCATATTATTTTACTCTTTTCATTTTTGTTAGTTTTAGGCAACAAAAGATGAAGATATCTCACTTTTGCCAGTTACAAATATAAATGTGAGGCATCAACATTAAAGTACCGGATGTGACCCCCCCCAAAAAAGGGGGGGTACCTACAAGGCCTGTATTGTGAACATAGTCAACATAGCCTAAGTGTCATAGAAGAGATTTGCTGTCATGTTTTTCCTACTTCAGCTTGTGTTACTGCTGAGTAAAAAACCTAGTCTATTCTTTTCATTTTGTTCATTGTGATGAACCTGAATTAATGTGATATTTGTGGACTTTACTTTGTTGTCCATGCAAACAGCTACTACTGTAGTGTAGATAAAACTGATTCCTCTGGTTGCCACGGTGCTACTGCACATTTAAGCATTTCAAACAGCAAAGTCACCATAAGGTGCAAAAAGGCAACAAGATGAAACAAAGCAACTACAAAACTATGACAAAGACAAGGCAAGATTGTTGAGGACCATGACTGCCTGGAGGAATAAGCTGTAAGCAGGGATTCAGACCAACAACAGCCCTGTGCTAGTAAAAATGAAGTTAGCTGCTTTTGTAGGGGCTGGTGGTAAGGTACTGGTAGGACATGAAATATGATCTAGGAAGTCCAGTCTGAATAACAAACAAAATTGATGCAGTTAAAGACTTACTAGACACTAAAACACAATGCGATAGTTTGTAATGATCACAGACAGGGTTTTACATGTCTGGAGGACGTTTCAAGTATCTTATGTTGGCACTGAGGGCTGAGGAGTGAGGAGGATGCCGGAGACGCCATTACCGAGACTCCACACGACCATCCTGGAAGGTTTTTTTTAACCAACATGCCCCTTTATTAGACCCTTCAGATGAAGGACGGCAGCAAAGAATATCTCACATTGTTATTAACATGTTTCTTCAAGTTCTCTCTCATCACGTTTTCCTTGCATTTTTACCTTGCATCTTATATAGGTGGGACTGAGATGTAAGGAAAAGATACATGTGAGGGAAACATGAGGGAGACTTGAAATATACCCAGTGATTCTAAACACACTGTAGTTTGTAGGTCGATGATCACACATGATCATTTTGTATGTCAAAGTGTAAAAATAATTGTTGGAGAGAAAATGACAAACATTGGCATGTTAAACACATTTTCATGTGGTATTTAATGGTAAAATGAAAACTATTAAAATGGTCAAATGAAAACTATTAAAATTGGCAAAATGACCCAAAATATTTCAAAGAAAAGAAGAAAAAAGTAAAATCTATGACCTGACCAAGACTATGACCTTGTCCCTTGACTTGAATCCAGTAAACTATCTTTGAAGTATTTAAAGCAAAAGGAAGAGGAACAGAACCCCTCCAGCAAAGAGGAGCTGAAAAAAAGCCTGGGTGAAGATTGTGTCGTCCATGTCCAGGAGGATCCAATCTGTCATCAAAAATAAAGGC